CATTTTCATAAAAATAAAATGCTGTTTTCTTCAAAGCATTTACAAAATCATAACGGGCAGATTTTAAAGCTAATTTACCTAGCTAAATGCCAGTGACACCCTATGATGTTCTTCTGGCTTCCTTGTCCAAACTGATAGGTGAAATCAGAACTGAGAGGGGTCTGAGGGTACCAAAGGAACTAGCTCAATAGCAGAGTCAACAGCAAGGGAAACAGACTGAGTAGGGTTAAGGGCACAGCTAGTTGTTCCCATCATCTTTGGACTTCCGATTGTGTACATTTTATCTCTGCATCCATTTTCTTAGCTACTTTTCTCCCTTCCCTTGATGGCTTCCTTTTTATCTCTATGGCAAGTCTTCATTATGTGTGATAACAGGGTCCACGTAGAGCATGGATGACTACAATTTAGAAATGCACTTCATAATTTACAATGCATGAAAACCAAAGCTTGAGACTCTCTTTATAGGAAGTATAGTGTGGCGCCCCACCTTGGTGTCATGTGGCATTCTGGCCACTGCCCCTCAGGGAGGCTGTGCCAGAACTGGGCAAATGAAGGGATGGGTCAAAGTGTGATAGGAGGAAATTGGGGTGTCAACCACGTGCCAGAAATTGGCCCTTTTTCATTCAACGGACATGCTGCGCACAAAGATGAATATACCCCAGTTCTTGATGTCATGAAGTTTGCATTGAGGTTGGGGATACAAAGAGGACAGGGTAGAGCAACAGCCAGTGATGGCAGGGCACAGCGCCTCCTGCCGCCGGGGTCCATGCAGATTTGACAGCCCTTATTTCTACTCCCTCCCTGTGCATCATCTGACACAGTTGACAAGTTTCTCTGCTGGAAACTCACCCCTCTTAGCTTCCACATCACTCTCTCCTGGACATTCTTTCTTGGTATTGGCTCTTATTCTTGTGTCTGATGGTAAACTGGCATTTCTGAGAGTTCTTCACTCTTTCCCGTCCCACCCAGTGCTATCAATTCTGAACTTCAATTTTTCTACCTCAGCACTTTCCAGGGTTATGACAGACTCTTATCAGTTAACAGTAACTTCCTTTGCCAGTGATTCTTGAACTGTTGGGGGAAGAGTATCCAAAGCACCAGTAACAGAAGCTCCCTGGGTGATTCTGACACATTTCCCCAACCTCTTGGACAGATTCTGTGTCTTATATTTTAACCCTAGCATGGTGGCCAGTTATGGTAGGAGCCCAGTGATGTTAACTGCGTGTTTAAAGGCAGTAAGCACAGCATGCTATGGGAACACAGAGCAGGTCACTTAATTGTGAGAAAGTTAGGAAAAGCTACAGAGAAGCCATCAGTTAAACCAAACTGAATTCTCTAGATGGATAAGCCTTAAAGAAGATTCAAACCGGTGGATTTTCACAGCAAGGCAGATCAGTTATTGAAATTTATGTATAGCAAGCAGTTAGACACGCAGGCTTCTTTACCAGATCTCAGCATTAGGATGAAGGAACTCTTTCTGAGTTTTGAACAAGATTAGTTTAAGTCAAATAAAAGTAAGATATTCTGTATCATTGGACAGATAATAGATTTGTAGTCATCACTGCTCCCAAGAAATGATACTGGTTCTGGCATGAGATAGTCTAATTAATTTTTTAAAATAATCTCAACTTTCATTTTAGATTCAGGGGTACATGTGCAGGTTTGTTACCTGAATATATTGTGTGATGCTGAGGTCTGGGATACAAATGACCCATCACCCAGGTAATAAGCGTAGTATCCAATAGGTAGTCTTTTAATTAATTTTAATAAAGAATTTCATTCATTTATTCACTCAGTAAACTTATTGAAGCACCTTATAGTGTTCAGCACTATAATAGGTGCTATATATTCATTAGTGAGCAAAACAAACTTAGCCCCTGTCCTCATGGGGCTTATGGTCTAGTGAAAAAATAGACATTAAGGAAATCACTACACACACACACACAGACACAATGATAAATGCTATGAGATAAAGTAAAATGTTAAGGGAAAGAACAACAGGGTCACCCAGTTGAGATTAGGTAAGAATTGAACAATGATCAGAGGTTAATTAGGCAAAAAAATTAGGGGGGAAGAGGCAGAGAGAAGACAAGGGCAAAATGGTTTGAATAAATTGATGAAGAGCCATGAACTGGCTCAACTAAGAGCTGCTGTTGAGGAAGAAGGGCACACCCCTTCTCAGGTCCTGCTTTTGCCTCTTCCCTGATAGGAGTGGATATCCCCCATCAACTCCAGTGGCAGTGGTCTCCTTGCAGGTTCCCAGACAGGCTATGCTGTTTCATGCCTTTTAAAACAATTGTGGTAAAAACATGAGATGTACCCTCATTTTAAGTGTTCAGTGCAGTATTGTTAACTATAAGCACAATGTTGTCCAGCACAAATTTAAGCATTATACATAACAGAAATTAAGCATTAAGCATAACATTAAGCAATAATGTTGTCCAGCACAAATGTTTGCACAAATTTTCTCACAGACATGCATAAGAAGCTTACACAGTTCAAAAATCAGAGCAATGTAAAAAGGCATAAAGCCTTTAGAATACCCTTGCATTCTCACCCTTGCCCCATCTGCACCATTCGCCAAATGCTTCCCCTTCTCTCCCTGCAGATAACATTATTATTATTAGCCTTTTGTGTATCAGTCCTCCAGTTCTTTATGTAAAGAATATACATTGTTATGTTCTCTCTCTTACTCACATGATGGACATTGTTATGTGGCTTGCTTTTTGCGTAACAAAACCTGTTAAGAGTTCAGTTTATATAGAGCTGCACTGTCCAAGAAGGTCAGTACGAGTCATATGTGGCTGCGGAGCACTTGAAATGTGGCAAATGCAACTAAAAATGGAATTTTAAATTTTTAGATTTTAAAAAATGAAAGCAGTGAAAAATATTTTCCTATTAATCTTAATTTTATTGTTTTAGTGGAACTACATTTCACTTTAACCACTGAAAATCCAATATCCAAATTAAGATGTGGTGTAAGTGTAAAACACACACTGGATTTCAAATACAGTTTAAAAAAATGGAAACTCTCATTAATGTTTTACATTGTTTACATGTATTCATCAGTTTGTTCAATTTTTTTATACAGTTGGTTAAATAAAGTATTAAATCAATTCTGCCAATTGCATACATGGCTCAAATTCTATTTCTACTGGACAGTGCTGATATATAACATTTACTACTTTTTACACCTGTATGGTATTCCATTGTATAGTGTACCACAGTTTACTTAACCAGTCCACCTTCAATGCATACATACAGTTGTTTCCAGTCTTCTGTTAAAAATAAAACAACAAATGCAGAAATGCTTACCCTTCTCCATACATCACTTCACACATATGCAGGTTGATCTGTAAAATCAATTCCTGGCATTGTTTGCTGGGTGCCAATGTAAATACATTTGTAATTTTGATATTACCAAATTGCCCTCAATAAGCATTGTAGCAATTTGCACTTTCACCGGCAATGTGTGTGAGTGCCCGTTCCTCATATTGCCACTTGAAACTACAATTAACTGTATTTTTGCATATAATAATCAACACATTTCTTTTTGCTAATTCTGAGGATTTTAAGGAGAAATTATAAATGGTTTGCCTAACTTCTTTTTCCATTTGGAAAAAAAAATCTCCTACTGATAAAATGCTTAGAATTAGCATTTCAGGGCTGGGTGCAGTGGCTCACGCCTGTAATCCCAGCACTTTGGGAGGCCGAGATGAGTAGATCAGGAGGTCAGGAGTTTGAGACTCGCCTGGCCAACATAGTGAAACCCTGTCTCTACAGAAAATACCAAAAGTTAGCCGGGCATGGTGGCAGGCGCCTATAATCCCAGCTACTTGGGAGGCTGAGGCAGGGGAATTGCTTGAACCCGGGAGGCGGAGGTTACAGTGAGCTGAGATTGTGCCATTGCACTCTAGCCTGAGAAAAAGTGGGGGATTTTTTCTAAAAAAAAAAAAAAAAATAGTAGTTTTTTTTTTTTTTTTTTTTTTTTTTTAGTGGAAGCATTAAAGAATTAACCCTCATTGTTTCCCAGTATGTAAGTTTCTATGAAAGTTGCAACTTTCACCATACTGAGATTTAGGAAGAGGGTTCAAATGGATAAGGGACTACATTTTCTTCTGTTTCTTAAGAGTTGGGGATTTCCCAAATTACTCCAGTAGCCTTCCCTGTCTGTGGTGGACTAACATTTCAGGGTAGAAAGGCAGTTTGCATACAGTTTTTGCATATTGTCTGTTAATCTCCTGAATTAGTTTTACTGTATGCTAAACATATTCTAACTTAATGGGTTGCTTAACTGAAGAAACCCACTAACAACATAATTGAAGCCTAAGAGCTCTGATAATCAGATAGTTCATTCCACTGACTTTATTAGTAAATGGCAGAGCAAGTTTGTCTTTTCACTTTATGGATCCAATTGTTGTCCCTCTTTTGAGACTTGTGTGCCCTCTACTGCCCTCTTTGCCTTTTTGTTTGTTTGATTTTGTTTTAGATGGAAATGAGGAAGTAAACATTCAGTATCCAAAAGCAAACTGCTTTAAATTTTCCATTCATAGGAATCTGAAAATAAGGTTCTTCTAAAGATAAATCTTACTATGTAGTTAGGGATGTGCCAGATAAGTTAATAAATTAGTATAATGAAACCCTTGATTTGGGGGAACATAAAATAATATTTTGCCAAACCCTAGAGGCATAGAAATGTACTTTATATCAAATATAACTATGGACACTTAACTATCGTTTGTGTTGTATTGATTTTCAACATAAAAAGATTAAGAAAAAAGGTGTCTTTATGTTCCCCATGCAGGAAGAGCACCAGGATATTGAGGACTTAGTATAAGGATCATCCTTGGCCACTGGTTGTATTGAGTCATTGCTACTATGTTCAAATTACACAATAAGTAAATATACAACTTTCTAACAGGAAGCAGCTGCAACCATAGCTATTCTTTGTATTTCTTTTTGCTTCTGTTGCTAATTTTTGCCTAATTATTTTGTTTCAGGAAGGATTTTCACTCATTGGCAGCAAAGACTGGTTGAAGATTGTAAGACGTGTGGATTGTCTGTTGTTTGGAACAACGATAAAGGCAAGATTTAAGCTAATGATCATATTCTTCTCATCTTTTATGTGTGTATGTTGGGAGGCGTTTGGGAGCGTCTCTTGGTAGGTGACATGTACTGGGAAGAATACAAATGTTTAAAAGAGGTTTTTACTCTGAGCAAAACATGAAACAAGGTCTGTAGAGAGGCAGAAGCCTCATTAGCAGGAGGACATTGCTAAGGAGTCAGGCTTTGATGGATTTGGCAGTGTGCATCTGATGGAGCTATGCAGCCATTCTCTAGCCCCCAAGCACAAATTGGGAGGAAGTGGAATACATCATTTGTCTTGCTTTTTGGATGTTTAAAAAGGTGTATATTTCCAAATGATTCAGTGAATATGTATTTTCTTTTTAATATTAAAAAATAAAATTTCCTTTTATTTTCTTTCTAGCTGTATTAAGTATAAAGAATGATCCTCATCAAAGAAACATACAGATTAATCACCTGGATCATTTTCCTTCAAAAATAACTATGAAAAACAATCTGTTAACATTCACTGAGTAGATACTATTGAAATTTCGGTGAAAGATACTAATTTTTGAGGGACTCAGACTCTGAGAGTTAGGTGATTATCTAGTGGAGGGGATTTAACCTGGGGTACACAGACCCCAAAGAGTCTCCATAGAATTCAGAGGATTCATGAACTTGCGTGGATTTTCACTGACCTCTAATTGAAATTTATCATTTCCTTCCACTATGAATGTAGGCCAGCAGACCACAGTAGTTTTAGACCTTCTCACCAGTGGAAATCACAGATACTTTCATATCACATTTCAGTTATTTCTGACATCTCAAATGTTTATGCTCATTACTACCTCAAAATTAATGTGCGTACTAGTCCTCCTACTAGATCTTTATTAAATAAATTAATAAAGAAGCATATATATTGTTAATTTACAAATTAGTAGCTTAATATTGTAATAAACTAACTCAGTATAATTGGTTTCCTTTGTAAACTCGTATATTTTGTGTGATTAAAAACATTGTTCTGAGAAGGGGTCTACTGGCTTATCACATTGCCACAGGAGTCTGGAGCACACACTCCAAAATGTTGAAGAACCCCCGTTTTGTTTCCCATATAAGGAAAGTGACTTAAGCCAATAGCCCAGGTTATGATTAGCATCAGCAAACCAGGCTGCCCTTTGATCTCTGGACTCAGCTCCAGACTATGTCATACTGAATGAATGTATAGATCTCTGAAAAAGTTATACCATGCTATATGTTTGATATTTGAGTTTTAAATTTTTCTAAATATACAATATCATTAAAATTTTAAACTACAAAGCAAAATAAAAATCAACCATAATTTGACCACTCAAAAAATAAGCAGTATTAATATTCTCAAGGTCTTACTAAGCATATATATGATATCAATTATATTGTGTTCAGATGAACCAGATTTCTTTTTTTCACTTAGAAGGAAATGTAGGCCAGGCATGGTGGCTCACACCTGTAATCCCAGCACTTTGGGAGGCCAAGAAGGGTGGATCACCTGAGGTCAGGAGTTCGAGACCAACCTGGCCAACGTGATGAAACCCCGTCTCTACTAAGAACACCAAAATTAGCTGGGTGTAATTGGTGGGTGCCTGTAATCCCAGCTACTCAGGAGGCTGAGGAGAGACTCTCTTGAACCTGGGAGGCAGAGGTTACATTGAGCCAAGGTTGCGCCACTGCACTCCAACCTGGGTGACAGAGCACGAGACTGTCTCAAACAACAACAACAACCACCAGAATCTAGAAACAGGCAGTTGCTAGCATCCTCCAGCAACTCAACAGTATCCAGGTCTTGGCATCTCTGTAATTCTCCTGGCTCTCCCTCTCAGGTGCAGAATGGCCGTTGCAGCTCTGCTGTATTTTCATTGAAGGGTCAGCATCACCTGGCCCTTTTATAAGGAAAGCATCCACTTTCCTACACAGCTCTCCACCATCCACAGCCCCTAGAAGATGCCTGCTTATGTGTCATGGACCAGTGTAATATGCCTGTCCCAAACTGCAAAGATTAGGAAAATGAGTGTTTGATGTTTCTAGCCCCTCTTGTGGATTGGCTTGTGCTAATTGACAGTGTCCACTATATAGATAATTTATAAAATGGGGATTGTAGTACTTTGTATCCTGCTCTTTTGTCGTGTTACATATCAGGAACATTATACCAAGTCATTAGATAGTCTCTGAAAACAATCTTAATGACTCAGTAGCATGTTATTGTTTGGAGGCACTAGGGTTTAACTCGCGGCTAATTTTTCACTATTACAAAAATGTTCTGATTCTTGTAAGGATTTTTTTACAGGGTTCTTGAGGTAGAAGTCCTAGAAGTATAAACTTTTTTTTTTTTTTTTTTTTTTAATAAATTTGCCTCTTGATAGGTTGTCCCTGCTTCTGCTGTACTGGCAATGTGTAAGAATGTTCATTTATCCAAATCCTCTCCAACATGGTGATACAATTTAAATTCAAAAACTAGTTTCTAATTTGACAGGCAGAAATGAGCATATTCCTTTAATATGCATTTCTTGTGCATATAAAACTGATGGGGATGGTAATGTGACATTTGTATTTCTTCTGTGAGTCACCTGTCTACATTTTTTGCCTAGTTTTTCTCTTCTTCAAACTCTATATATAATTTCTGTAGTTATATAGTTTTGTATATTTGCGTGTATATCATATGTATAGATTTTTTAAACATTTAAGGCTAGGAACCATTTGCCTGTTGTCGTTGTAAATGGTATCTTTTATCCCAAATATATTTCCAGCTAGTTATTATTGGATTTTTTTTCTGAATTTAAATTTAACCTCCTTACTAAACTTATATTAACTCTGTTTATTCGTTTTTAATTTCTAGGAAGTGTTTTACAATTTACAAACAATTATATTTCTTTCCAGTGATTTTATTACTTTCCCCACCTTACTGAATTGTCTAGATCTCCCAGCTCCCAGAACACCGTAATCATAGGGTTATAGTAGCCTTGATATCTTCTTGAGTTGCATGGAAGTAGTGTTTAGACATTAAGTCCATCTCTGGCTGTTAACTGGATTTTTTTTTTTTTTTTGGGGGGGATAGAATCTCACTCTGTTGCCCAGGCTGGAGTGTGGTGTTGTGATCTCCACTTGCTGCAGCCTCGACCTTCAGGGCTCAAGCAATCCTCCTGCCCCATCCTCCTGAGTAGGTAGAACCAGAACCACCATGCCTAGCTCATGGTCGGATATTCTTTATCATGTAAGGAAGATACCCTTTCAGTTGTAGTTTATTTAATACCTTTATCAGGATTACATACCAAATTTTATCAAATGCTTTTTGACAAGTATTAAGATCATGGGTTTTTTTCCTCCTTTGATCTATTGATTTGATGTAATATGTTGACATTGAACCAACAGATTCTTCTTTTGCCCTACCTGGCAAAGAGTATCTTTGGTGCTTCTTGCCTTAAACTTTCTAAGTATTATGCCAAAACACTATTATTTAATTGACAAGTGAAAGAAGTAAAATTTTCACTCCTTTTATAGTAATTTAATATAATAAATTCTGTGAGTAGTAAACATTATATTTCTTTTCTCTCTGAGCTAAAATAAGTAGGTTGAATAAATTCTGCCTACTTATAAGGTAGGCTTCCCTTTTTCCAGCAATACTGATCAAACAGGTTCTGGCTAATGGGCTAACAGTAGACAAATAATTCCTTATCTTAAGGGCATTTTGGCCCAAAGAAGTTAACCCAAACAACCACTGTCCTCTTTACATCTCCCACTGGGAGTGAGAAGTAAAAAGGACAGTGGTTGTTTAAAAAATCATTTTTAAATGATTTAGTCTTGTCAAGGCTTTGAGTATTGCCTTTTAGTTTCAAAGCAAGGAGTCAAATAAAATGCTGAAGTACCTTCTCTGGCTAAGACCGTTTTCTGTACTTTCTCCCACATTTTCTGTAGTAGAGGAATTCACAATTAGTGGTGGGGAAAACTGCTTCAGTTGGGGTCTTAGTGGTAAAGGACAATTTCTTACAGATCTGGGTGATTAATCCAAAACTAGTGGGAAAACCCACTGGGTTTGTGTGAGGCCTCTAGTGTCTCCTTGTCTCTTTCTATGTTGTGGTAACTGGACTCCAGGGCATGATGAGGCCTTGGGACACCTGCTGTGGAGCCTGTAGCCTAAGCCTCTCTGTATGGGGATGGTGTGCATACCTGTGAGCCAGCATTTAGTAGGCTTAACCCCTTTTAGAAAGTGAAGCCTTGATTTTCTTGTCAGTATACATGGACAAGTGAAAAGAGATGAGCACTTATCCTTAAATTTGTTTCCTTGAGTCTGTACAAGGGAATTTTTTATTAGTTGTTACAACGTGAAATTAAGTATTCTGAAGGGGTAGGTACAACTTTACATGTAAGCCACCACTTAAGATACAGTAATTATGAGCCCATCTTCTTAGGTGATAGAAACTAGAGACTGAATATTTGGGGAAATTCTTGATTGTTGGTATACTTGAGAACTTTTCACTTCACAGCAAGGAGCTCTTTCTGACTTTTAATTATGGCATAAAAATAAATCTCATCAAGACTTTCAATCTTTAGCGGTCCCTCTGGTTAACCCAGTGGAAAGTTTTCCATTATGGTAACCTATGGCATTGAGGATATAGGATGGAGATACAACTGTTTTTCCGATTTTTCCTGATGTAACTGGGTTTTATCTTGGATCCACACGCATTGAAGTGATATTTCTGGCTTTAGATGGTAAGCTCAAATTCTGAAAATGTTATAGAAGCAAACATGGAACAAGACTTCAGTTAGGCCATTAGACATATAACTGACTCTGTTGCTTTTTCGGAATTACATTCCAAAGCAACCCTAACTATCTAAACTGATTCTTATATACATTCACATATAGATACCTCTAGACTTATGTAATTGGTCTCAGATTTTTGCCCTACTTGTATGCTTAGTGTCTGCTTATGCATAGCTTTTTTAAGCTAGCTATGAAGTACAGTTGCTGATGTGACTGTCAAAAGGTTAG